TCGGCGCCCGACGAAGGCGCGGGACTACCTCGTGGCGGTGTTGACGCGGGACGCAGGGCCAGAGCCGTGTTGAGCAGAGGAATAGGCGCGGGTTGATCGCGCTTGCGCTTCGGAGATGGATGCGCCAGGTGCGTAGGCATTTCGCCGATAATAGGGTGCCAGAATTACATGAGGAATACCGCTGAAGTGTGTTGGTGAAGGTGACAGGAGTATTGTTGTTGTGAGTGGAAGAGCACCCAAATCCCACATGATGGCCTGTTGGTTACGCGAATGTGGGGCAGACGCACAGGCCCATTGTAGGGCTGAAAGAGACCCTTGCTGGAACCACTGTAAGGCACATGATATATGCGGGCCGGCTCTTGCTGTCATGTCCATATGCACGTCGAACACTGCGAGCCATTTGTGGACCTAGCGGCTGCGATTCAATGTTCGCATGCATACCTCAGAGGCACTAGCTCCGAGTTCACATAGCCCCTTCCTTGCCTGCTGCTGCCTGATATGGCTATATGAGTCTTTGCTTACATCAATCTTTATGCGCCTTCCTCATTCCTGATACATCTCTCGATGTCACCAGGCATTTCTGTACACAATAAATGCGTCACAGGACTCTAATCAAAAGCTCCTGATCTCTCGGCCTATGCGTCCTCAGGCAGCTCTATGCAGCAGAACCCGCAACGCACACGGTATTCATTTACAAGTACCCTGTGGATTCACGAAAAACACTTGGTCATTGTGGCTTCCTGCTTCGACGACATTGAGAGCGCTCCTTACCATCTACCTTTTCCCTTCCAGCAATCATGGAACAAAGATCCATCCTCGATTTCCTTAAAAAGCCAGGTTCGGCACGACCAGAGTCGTCTCGATCACAACATTCTCATCGAGATCAACCTTACCGCCGCAATAGTACCAACGCTCACAAATATCACTCATCTAACCAAAAGCGACCCCCTGACCGCCGCCGCAACATGAGTCTCAAACTAGTTGCCGACGAGACCAAAGAAGCACTCCCGAATGTCCGGGCTCAGCTTCCACCAGAGTTTGATGTTGAATGGTCTTGTCTCGAAGATCTGGACCATCGAGATTCAGCTCCTCTTCCGGCGGACTTATGCCCAGCTTTAACGACACCGTGTACTATTCAAGTACTCGATATGGATTCATTCGATGCGGCAATCCAGCTAGACCCCTCTCACACCGTCAACCAGCATGTCACCAAGAAAAGGTCGGATACCAGTACTGAGAAGGTGACCCCAGTGGCAGTCCTAAACCTTGCTTCCGAGCGTTCGCCCGGAGGCGGCTGGCAGAAGGGCGCCCTCGCCCAGGAGGAATGTCTGTGCTACCGCTCTTCGCTCTACCTCTCGCTCGACCGAAAACTTTACCCAATACCCCCTCTCTCTGCCATATACTCACCAAACGTGGTCATAATACGCGAATCCATGTCAAGAGGCCACAAGTTACACAGTAACACTTGTCCGCCTGACCTCCCTGCAGTTTCCGTCATCAGCGTAGCAGCACTTCGTCAACCGGAATTATCAAACGACGGCACAGCGTTTAAAAGCCCTGGCGTAAGGTCTCACACCAAGAAGAACATTCGCCTCATACTGCGCGTTGCTGCTCGACATGGACACAGAAAGCTCGTGTTGGGCGCACTGGGCTGCGGTGTATTCGCCAATCCGCCACGAGACGTCGCAAATTGCTTTCTTGAGGTTTTTCGAGAGCCAGAATTCCAAGGAGGGTGGTGGGAGAAGGTCGTGTTTGCCGTCATGGACAACGTAAACGGACCAGATGGTGGCAAAGACGGCAAGGGAAACTTTGGTCAATTCTATCAGGTTTTACATGGACAAATTGCGTGAATAGTGGCCGACGGGGTTGGCAGGGATTTGTGTATGCATTCTCCAACTGTCTCACGGCCCAGGGAGCAGGCAGCGGACATTACTGCTATAGCTTCATACAATGCTCAGAATGCATACTAAATGTATCCACCATACTTTGTGTGGCGACAACTCTACAATATTATACGTGTATACCTTCCGGGTGTCTTTCCAGTACAAGGTACAGCTCAATAGAGACGAGCTGCTTCGTAGGTAGTGATGGATCATTCATGTTCAGAGTAGAGGCGAAGGAACGGCGACCAAGTAACAGTAAGCCCATTAGAGCAGTTCTCCTTGAATTGTTTTGACACCTCGAGAATTAGGTTGGTATCATGATGCAGGTATATGTACAAGAACGCAAAAACGCAAAGCAATCCTCTTCTCCCTTGCCTCGAAACTGCCACGTCTATCTTGTAAACGTCTTGCTTCGTCCTGGGACTTCCTTTTGCGCCCTCGGTAGTCCCTTCGGTGCATCGGACATACCCGAGAAAGGCGCGAAGGCTGCACTCTTCTTTTTCTTGTCCTTCTTCTTCTTCTTCTTGCCATCGCCATCGCCATCTTCTGCATGCAGTACCGACTTGGCGTTTGCGTAGTCGAATGCAGGCTCGTCACCGTAGTCAAGACCAGCGGCGCGGGCAGCAGCGTCATCCTTCTTCTTTTGCTTACGTGCGGCTTTCCTAGCGGCCTTGGCATGTGCGTGATCTGCGTCTGGTGTTTCCTCGGATGCGTCTAGCATGATTTCGTCGTTGGTCATAGGGTCGAGGGCTGGCGTTGTGGTAGAGGGTTCGTCTTCTACTGCGTTTCCTCGCTTTCGCTTGCGACTACCGAGGTGCTTGACAACAAACGTGTCGGTTCGTTGGTCTTCAGCAGGTCTCTCCTCTTTCGGTACAAAAGTGTGCTGCGGTTTCTCCGCGTTTAGTGCAGCTTGTGTCATTCCGTTTGCATCAGCAAATATTTCTGCGGTAAGAGGTGGTAATGGCAGAGCGAGACCGATATCAATGGTGGGAGTTTCCCGCTGTTGTGACGGCTGGCTGGCTTTCCACAGTTGTCCCCAGAACTCAGAAGACGAAGCGCGAGTAGCTGGGACAGCAACGGTACTCTCAAGTGCGGCGGCCTCAACAGCTGGAGCTGCAGTTGCCTCTGCTACCTTCGCAGCAGCAGCATAAGACTCAGCCCTTTCCGCTCTTTGCATGTCGGCAATCGTCTGAAGCACGCTATGCAACTCCGGACCCCCAACGCCCTCCTCCTTAGCCTTTGCGATCACAGCTACAAGCTCGTCCGCATGGGCACGAATGATGTGCGACACATGTTGGATAGCGTTGAAGAGAGCAGCCTTATCCGCAGGTATCGCACGAGCTACGGAGAACACGGCGTGGTTGGGCATGATGAAAAGCGGGCTTTCGTCTTCTTTCCGACTGAGGTCGTCTCTCCACCTATGCACAGCTCGGAAGACCGAAAACTGCTGTGGGGTAAACTGCACGGGTGTCCGTGAGACGAGTTTGTACCAGCCAGCTGCTCCAAGACCCATCTCCATGTCGTAAACAGGGTGTTCGTATCGCTGTAGCGCCGTCTCTTTCGATTTTTGCAGTACGTCCTGAACCTTGTTTTTCTCGGGATTAGAGAAGTCAGACTTCTCAACTAATTCGTTCCGCATGTTGTCGTATACATAAAGGAGGAAATGGGTGTCGGCGCGTGCGTATTCGAACAGTTCCTTGCTGAGCGGCCTAGTGCGCCAGTCTGCCAGTTGGTACTGTTTCTGGGCTGTGAACTGAACATGCCTCTCAAGCAAGTACGCCAAACTCGCACCAGGATAGCCAAGAGCTCGAGCAGCGTGGTACGTGTCAAAGAGGCCAACGACATAAAGCCCAAGGTCTCGTTGAAGCCAGACGATGTCCATGTATGCACCGTGTAGAACCTTCAAGATATTGGGATCGGCAAACACCTCGTTCAGGCACTCGAGCTTCCGCCGCCAGGGCTTCAGTGTGTCGACTATCCAGTCCTTATCGCGCGTACTTATTTGCATTAGCGAAACCATGCCGATGTAGGAGCGGTTGTCGTGGTGTTCCAGGTCAATAGCGATTTCCTTTGCGGTCTTCAGCTCTGAGAGCATAGTAGCCAGTGCTTCAGGGGTATCGACCAAAGTTGCAGTAGTAGATTCGAAGGGTGGGTATTGCTGCGGCTCGGAGTACTCGTATACGGTCGAAGGATATTCGTAGGTTTCGATCTCGGTCTGGTACGGGTGAGGGTATCTGGGAAAGGTAAGCTTGCGGTGCTAACATAGCATATCTGTCATACTGTTCCCGTCCGCGTCTGTCTTTGAAAGTTTCCAAACATTTCTCGAGCGGTATCTTCGCATGCGGCTTGGTTGTGACCAAAGGGCGGAAGCCGCCAGACTCGAAATTGGCGGGCAAATGCTCAAATTTGAGCTGCGGCTTTGCGATGATCTTTTTATCGGCGATGTTTGGGCGCGGTTTCGCGGTTGTCTGCAAATGAATCAGATGACGCGCCCCCCTTTCAGTATGTATATTCCTCACCTGCTCGGTCGCGGGGCTCAGTCGCTTGACAACACCCGTGTACTCATCGAGACTGGTGTCGGCCTTCTCAAGCAAGCTGTCGATGACATCAACAACCCCCCTCCAATTGGCGTCTATGGCTTCGACGTCGGGTAGCTTGGGACCTACAGCGTCCGAACTCGCAGCAGCATTCTCGAGAAGTCGCTGCGCAAGGTGAAGGAGGCGCGCATTCTGAGCATCCAGCTGTGTGCCAGCTTCGGGGTTGAGCGACCGTTGAAAGGAAATGTCTGCTGCACCTATTAGGGAGGCAGACTTGGTGGTCGACTTCAGGGCAGCCGAGATCTCTGTCTGAAGCGTTTTGAAGGAATCCATGGCGTGTCTATTGTGCGCTCATCCTCTTAAAAAAACGTTCGATGACGTGGTCTACGGTGGCGTCTCGCTTCGATGTCGTAGGTCGTGTTGGGGTGGAGAGGGAGCGCGTGTCGCAAATGTTTAGAAAGAAACCTTCAATGATTTCTACGTTAGCGCGCTTTCCCTATCGATAGCCGCAGCCGCGCACCTTCACCCGCCGCCTCCGTCATGCTGATCAAGGCCGTCACTTAACCAACATTTCACCAACATGTCGGCTTCTTTAGCCCCCGAATGCAACGAAGTCAAGGAGTGAGCGCCAATGTTATCTGGTATTGCTAGTATAACTGACTGATACATCCAAGACGATACGACAACTGCTTCCTCAAGTGGTACAGTGAGAGTAAGCAATAGTGCATAATCTGGGCATCTTTGACTCCTGACAAAATCTAGAGTTTCTGCGAGGCACTGCCACAACCGACGAATGCAAGCCGATATTCGAGCAGTACGAGAAATGTCTTTCGGTCAGGCACTTTGCCCTAAAGTCTCTGCCCTTGAAGCTGGCTAACCCAACAAACAGAGGGCTCTGAATGAACGTGGCATCGACAAGATGCTAAAGGAAGTGCGAGACGACAATAAAGAAAATGATGCTGAGCACATGAAGCCTGTAGGCACGGTCTTCCATATGCGATGTTACTGAAACTAACTGCATACAGAACCGATGAACAACGAGGCTTGCCATAGTTATTCCATAGAACCACAGACGTGTTTGCACTTCACACTCCTCTCAAGTGAGTTCCCTACTCTTCTCTCTTAGTGCAGTGGAACAATGCATAACGACAACAGCTTATTGAAGTTGCAGAACTTGGACTTGGCGTATACACCGTACCATTCGGACACGACCTTTGTCAAAAAAATATGTATTTTGAACGCGTAAGATATAGTCCCGAACGTTCTTGAGGTTTACCCCGTTCAATGGCGCACCAAAGAATGTTGATCGGGCCGCTGCATATATCTGCGCTAGACCCCTAGATGACGTCGACAATCGGGATCCATGTATTTCGGAAAACAATCCTATTCTCTCTCCACCAAATCCACTTTGAAAGTCCCCACAACTATATAAACTCCTCTCCCCCACTTCCTCGGTTCGATGGTCAACTATCTCTCCGTTCCTGAATCAAGCATGGCAACCAAGGTTGGTCTCGGCGTTCCAATGCCGCTTCTCGCTCCTGCGACTGCTACATGGGCTTTTCCCTTTGCGGCATACTACATTTTCCTCCAGAACCGCATTGCTTACCACCGCATTACCTCAAAGACGTATGGAGCTCATCTCAGTTAGCCAATAGCATTCTGCTGACGCTGACGGTAGTTTCATGGGTGACAAGTCGGATGACTCGAAAGGCGTCACAGATCCCCTATATGTGGCCACGCGTGCGCAGCTGAACTTTGCCGAGAACGTGCCATTGGTATTGGGAGTGGCGCTCCTCGCTGAGCTCAATGGAGCCAACAGGTAAGTGCACTCCGTCGAGACAAGACAACGCGTCTAAGTTGCTACATCAGGACCTACATCAATTACGCGCTTGGTACTCTCCTTGCCCTCCGTATCAGTCACGCAGAGCTTGGCTTGATGATTAAGGGTTCTACGGCTCCCGGAAGGATTGTTGGTTACTACGGCACTCAAGCTGTACTTGCAGGTATTGCTGGATACGCAACGTACTTGATCGCGGATTTCTGGATGATTTGATAGAAGACTTTCATGGTTTGAGATAATTAGCAGCAGGTTTAGCAAAAGGGCTCGACCTAGGTAGTTATTATGAAACTATTTTTTACCCAGAGTGAATACCCTTGAACCATGCGTGTGCGTAAATAAACAAAGGTCGAGCTTCGAAGTTGCATGTGAAATGAGGCGCATTACGTAGCAACTGTGGCGCCAAGGCATCGAGCAGGTGGATAGCTGCCGCGATCTCCAATCCCCACCAATTCTTAGAACATACGTTATTCATACAACCAGCTTCGGCAAACACGTGTCCGCCCTTCCGAACCTTAGAATCTTTTACTTCTCGCTATCTACAGCCTCTATACTCGAATTCTCTGGCGGCGCAATGGAGGCAGCGTCTGCGCGCATGGCCACTCGGGATCGGTACGGCGCATTTGGGGAGGCGCCCAGTTCACCACTGCAGCGCTACATATGTATGCACAAGGCCGTTCCCCGGATACGAACCAAAACTGATATAGTATGGAACAGTACAAGCTTGCGATCCGCAGAACTTCGAGCCCAACCTGGCCTTGAATCTCGAGATCTCCGACTTGATCAATAGCAAGAAAGGCTCAGCGTAGGATCATGCCACTCTTCCGCTATACACTCGAGGCTAACGGTGCCCCAGGCCTCGAGAAGCAGCTGTTACCATCGTGCACTACGTCAACCACCGCAATCAGAACGTTGCCCTCCTCGCGCTCAATGTACGCCCACACTGCCCCACCTTGTACTTCGCATAGCTCACCCTTGGATAGCTCCTGGACATATGTGTCAAGAATTGCGGCTACCCCTTCCACCTCCAAATAAGCACAAAGGAATTCCTCAATGAGCTTGTCCGCCGATTCCCCGAACGTCCGCCTGTGCATTCGACCCGTGTACAAAACAAGATTCTCGAGTTGATAGAAGAATGGCGACAAACCATATGTCAGACGTCGCGGTACAAAGACGACCTAGGGTTCATAAGAGATATGCACAGGCTGCTGAGTTACAAGGGCTACATCTTTCCTGAAGTACGCAAGGAAGATGCGGCGGTCCTAAACCCCAGCGACGTATGTATATGGTGGTCTGGCGGTTCAAGTATACTGCTAACATGGCGCAGAATCTCCGCTCAGCAGAAGAAATGGCCGAAGAGGAACGAGAGGCACAATCTGCGAAACTCCAGGAATTGATCCGTCGTGGTGGGCCTGCGGACCTGCAAGAAGCGAACAAGCTCATGAAAGTCATGGCTGGGTACGATACCAGGAACAAGACCGATTGGCGCGCAAAGGCTGCTGAAGAAGTTGGAAGAATACAGCAAAAGGCAAAGATACTGGAGGAGATGCTGCAGGGCTACAAACCGGGCGATCAGATCAAAGAGGGCGATGTCTTTGAGGCATGTCAACTGAGGTGTCAATATGGTAATATTAGCTAACTAGACGACAGGAACTTGCGAATGCCCTCCAAAGCGCCCAACCAAAGATCCAGAAAATGTGCGAAGAAGATTCCGAAGACCACGAAGCCGTAGCAAAGCTGTTCGAAATCAATGACAGCATACACCGAACAATAGAGAGATACAAGCTCTTCAAGAAGGGTGACATAGAGGCCGCAAATAACATACCCCAAGGCACGCTTGGCCGCAGTGGTGCTGGCGTTTCCCAGGGTCCAAACAACACATTGAACTTGATCGACTTTGGAGACCCAGAGCCCGCGTCTCAGACAGCAGGATCGTCACAGGCACCTCAACAGCCAGCAGCTGCAGGCAATGCTCTTGAAGATGATCTTCTAGGACTGTCGTTGAGTGGAGATACCTACGGACAGCAGGGTAGCATTTCTTTGGGAGGTTCGAATGGCTCAGGTACGTTGCTTGTTGTTGAAGCGAGTATTCATCAGCTGACGTTTTTTAGTCCTAGGCATGTCTGGAATGGCAGTGCCACAATCGCAAAAAGCATCAAACCAGGCCATCACCGATCTCTTCTCAGCAGGACCGAAGCCAACACAATCCCAAATCACGTCACCCACTCCGTCTACCTTTTCACCGCCCCCAATACAGCCAGCGCGCACACCGGATCCTTTCGCTGCTCTTACATCCACACCACGCCAAGGCTCACCTTTCCAATACCAACAGTCGGTCAAGCCCCCACCAGTGGCATCCGGTGCTGTTGATCTACTGGGTGATGGCATGCCTGCGCCGTCAACCAATTTGACACAAAGCAGCGCTACTGCTGATGACGACGACGAGTGGAACTTTGCTTCAGCTGTGCCAGATACTTCCAAGGAGATAACTGTCACCAATACGAGCATCAATGTTCTTTTCAACATCTCGAGAGAATCGGACACCACCTTGCTGATCCAATCACGGGTATCGAACAACACACCGCTACCAATCTCTGTCCTGACGCTGCAGGTTGCTGCATCAAAGGTAGGCAGTGCAATGTGATGATATTGAAGTCATTAGTTAACAACAACCAGGGCGCCCAACTGCAATTGGAGCCACAGTCTGGCGTCAACCTCGGACCACATCAGAAGTTCGGAATTACTCAGAACATCCGCGTGAACAACGTGCAAAGAGGGTCGGGGAACAACGTCAAAATGAGGTGGAAGGCTACATATTCCCTTGGTGGACAGCAGAAGAACGAGATGGGAGAAATCCCGAGCCTCGGTGTTTCATAGCATCCGCAACACGGAAACCGTGGTCGTTGACCCGTAAAGAACATGAATCAAGCATTTTCCGTACCCCAAAAATGAATTGCTCTTACAAAAGTTTGTTACTCAGCTAAGCGGCCTTGACGCCATCGCCATTCGCTCATAGAAGCAAGCGCAACGTCATCGGACTAGCGCGTCTTATCGATTACGATGTTCAATAATTGTTATTCCACAATCTTGCCCCTCTCTGCGACTCACGCCCAACTTAGGACCAGCAAATCGCCTCTCTCTTACATATAGACATATTGTTCGACATGGTGCGCCACAAGAAAGACTTCAAGGGCAACAACAAGTTCAAAAATCCCGCGAAAGCACGCGGTCCTCCCCGCCCCCGCCGCGCATCGGATGCAGATGAAAACGATGGCGACAACCCGAGGCCTGCGAAGCCAGAGTTTAAAGCCGCATGCTGGGACCTCGGACACTGCGACGCCAAGCGCTGTTCTGGAAAGAGGCTTATGCGCCTGGGCATGATGCGCGAGCTTCACGTTGGACAGAAGTTTGCAGGTGTCGTGGTTAGCCCGAAGGCAAAGAAGATACTTAGTCGCGAAGACAAAGACTTGATGGAACAATATGGCGCTGCAGTTGTGGAAGCCAGTTGGAAGAGGATAGACGAAGTCCCGTTCGGCAGGATAGGTGGCAAGTGCGAACGTCTACTTCCGTACCTCGTTGCTGCGAACCCAACAAACTACGGTCGACCATGGCGGCTAAACTGCGTCGAAGCTCTTGCCGCTTGCTACTATATCACTGGGCATCCCGAATGGGCCGAATCAATTCTGTCGACTTTCTCATACGGCCAGGCGTTCTTGGACATCAACGCTGCGCTGCTCAAGCGTTACATGGCATGCGAGAATGAAGAGCAAATCAAAAAGGCCGAGGAAGTCTGGCTGGAGAAGATTGAGCGCGAATACAACACGAGCCGAGAAGAGAAAGTGGATGGCGCTGAAGAGGATGTTTGGGCTGGCGGAAACATGAATCGAAGGGTCATCGACCAATCAGATGATGACGATGATGATGAGAATGATGAAGGTGATGAGGATGAAGAAGACGAGATCGACCCGCGAAATCCTTACAATATCCCAGAGTCCTCAGACGATGAGGAAGAGATGGCAGAGCTAAGGCGCCGTGTCCTGGCATCGAAGCCCTTCACCAACCCCACGTCAAAAGATGCAGAGGAAGAAGAAGACGAGGATGACAAGAAGATACCCGAACGTATACCTCGAACTGAACCTGCGCCAGGAAATGCCAAGGCGGGCGAGGAGGATGACAGCGAGCCTGCAGAAGGTGATGCCGACGACGATGAGTTTGACAGCTTCATGGCTGCACAACCCACAACAGATCGTACAGGGATAGGAAGCAAGCAAAGATCAAAGGCTATGGATAACAAGTACAAGGCCACTTTCTCGAGTGGCAGTGTGAAAGCACCCAGCGGGCGAGGCTACCAATGATCACCAATGTAGTTCCTGTAGCAATGAGAAAGCAGAATTACAATCTGGGGACTCCTGTCAGATTGACTGAGCCCATTGCAACCGCTCAAGAATCAAGTCGTTGACCAATGATTATGCTCTGTCCGTTTCGAGACTAGTGTATGAAAATAGCCGAAGGCGATCGTGTTCGTGCGACAAACTGCATTCGCGAAACACCACTCTAAACATCGTGGTTTGACCATGTAATGCGCGACCGATAGACTTTGCACGCAAATAATCAGGGATTTTTCGCTGTCCTACAGATGAGCCTTTGCTGCCAGCCTCGACTGACCAACCGAGAACAACGTGGAAGCAATTACCTGTATGGCTGCACGCAGCGCAGCGCAAGAGAACAAGAAACAAGAGGCCTCTTGATGACATAAGCTTTCTGTGTGAGCCAGGCATCCCATCATTTTGTCAGATTGTTCCATAAATACAAACCTTGAGAAAGCTCAGACTACCCGACCATTGATAGAACAGTCTCGCCATGCGTCGATGTGTCTCGTAGGTCATTAGGGCTAAGCTTTCCGGCAAATCCGTCCCAGATGGGCAAACCAAACGTTCTGCCTGACGTTTGAAACCGAATTCGCAAAGAAGCATCACCGTTACTCAAGCGATTTCTTGGCCGACACCATACCTGTAAGGACAACGGTCTCGTCAACTGGTTCTAACGAATCAAGCAAGTCACGGCAGGCTTTATGTGGGCCTCTCAATCCAAAGGGGTCGAGTATGCCTGATTGCTATGGAACTCTTCGCTCCGGGACATCTCGCCATCAAGTCCTGGAGCACGACTCGAAACCCCATTGACCGGATCATGGCTCGCCGGGCTAGAAACCGAAGTCATGGTACGGAGACACAGAGTCTTCATATTAAGCCACTGTGCCACGATTTGTTGTTCGAGTACCTCTCTGCCGCAGCAAGTCTGGTCAGTTGCTCCGCCGTTCTCTCGCTCTTCTCTTATTAATTCTTCTTTTCTATCTTCTTATTTAATATTTCTTCAAAGCCCAGGTGGCTTTTGTTATTGCAAACATGACGTCCGGTACTGTCTCCTCGCTTGTTCTCCTGCTTTTGAGCTGTACACAGGTGTTGGCTCAAAACGCAAACACACAGCAAGTGTCTTTTAACCAAGTCCTTAATGTCAATGGCGATGTAAGTAAACTATCTCCAACAGATCCCCTCATCGACTTTAAACTGACAAACGTAGATGCAACTCAACTCATTCCAATTTCCTGACCGCTCAAAGGTTGAGACATTCTCCCAGAAGCAACAGCAAATAATTGTTAATCAACAAACACCCGCCATTCCCGCAAACCAAGTCACGGGAACTACTGGTCAACCCTTCGTCGCTGTCTCGCCGCAGTCGATGACTATCAGCACGAACGGCGCTACAGATCTCGTTGGTGGCCAAATCGAGATGGCCATGACGATGCAGAACTTGCAGGCAGTTGCTGTCCAACCCGACAACACATACGTTGCTATGCTTTCACCTGACCGTCAATCCTGGATGATTCAGGAGACTATGAGGAGTGTCAACACTACTGATATGACGGTTCGCATGGTCAAGCGCACTCAGATGGACGGCGAGTACATGGTTGTTGGTCGTCAGACCGTCGAGACCAACACTCTGGTCACTCCTTTCGGCAGTGACGGCAGCACATCCGTCGCTATTCAAGGTACTGGTCTACAAGAGAACGAGTTCCAGGATGGCTTCAGGATGTCGACTCGCGCTACTCAGCCCATGACTATGAACGTCGACGTCAAGGATGGTGTCGACTCGAGCATGTTGGCTGCTCTCCAGGGTCAGGCCCCAGTCAACGACTATCGTTACTCAGTTGTCTCCAACCTGGCTGCTGTCACCCCTGATCTAAACCAGCAAGTCACTGTTGTCCAGATGCCCAGTAAGTCTACCCATGTCTCAGTCATATAGATAGCTGACAAACGTCTAGTCAATGCTATCCGTATCCAGAAGATGATGCAAGCCATGGGTGTCCCCCCCACCGGCCAAGTCGCTATTGCCGTCGCTCAGCGTGGTGTTCTCCAGAACCCCGGAGGCGCAACAGGAAACCTTGGTGGAGCCGCTACCCAACGTCGTGGTCTTAGCCGTGGTGAATTCAGACGCCAGATCCAGCAGGGCCAGCAGCAGGGTCAGCAGCAGGGCCAGCAGCAGGGTCAGCAGCAGGGCCAGCAGCAGGGCACACCTACCAACGGCAACAACCCCGTGGCGACTCAGCTCCTTCTTGCACCTACCTTTACCCCCATTCAGGCTAACGCCGTTCTTGACCAAGCCAACATGCGCATTGCTGTTCCTGTCCGCCAGATTGATGGAGAGTACATCCTCACTATGCAAGTCATGGGCGGTGCGCAACCCGCACAAGCCGCTCAGCCTGCTCAACCTGCTCAACCTGCTCAACCAGCCGCTGGTGAGGGTCAAACACCCACTGCTGCTGAGCCTGCCGCTCAATCTAGCTTGACACCCGCTGGTGAAGCACCTGAATCCAGCGCCAGCGCAGCGGCCGGTGAGAAGAAGCCCGCAGCCGAAGGCGAGAAGCCAGCGGCCGAGGGTGAGAAGAGACCCACCATGGAAGGTTCTGCCGCCAACAGCACCGAGACCGCCAACAGCACCGAGACCGCCAAACCCGAGCGCCGCCAAGAAAACAAGGACTCAGGCAAGGACAAGTACGGCCTCGACAAGGCGCCTCAAGGAGCTGTCATCATGACTATGAAGGAGATCGATACCATGGCTAACATGGTCACATGGGGTGGTCAAGTCGCCATTACTAAGATGATGAGCGAGTACGTCAAGGAGCAGACTGGCAAAGACATGGCACCTATTAACAACGGTACTGAGACTGCCGAGGCTGGTGCCAAGATTGTCGTCTAAGCCAGGTCGAATGAATGGATGGTAATGTGTATAGGGATAGGTCGTATGCATTTCATATGCATAGGAGAAAAAGTGGCTGTTAATAGGATCGTTAGGCAGGGCTTGATGCTCTGCCTTCCGCACTCTTGAGTACGTTTATTAGCTGTATATAAAATTGATTGGTGAGAACTATACCTCGTCTTTCCGCACAGCCCTGGTTTGTCTGTCGTGAAAGTTCTTCATGTCGGGCGGTATCTACCTTTCACGTTCGTATCCCAGGTCTCTCTGTCTCCACTCCAGCGTCCTGTTGTTCGTGAAGACTTGACGAGTACTGCGCCGTCTTGGTAGCAGGCTCTTCACTGTCGTATACAATGCATGTGGATCGTGAGCAAGAGTCACAACCGAGAGGTACCATATCGCTTGCTTGATGATTGCGAAATCTTTCGGAGCCATTTCAGCTTTCTTCAGCGTTTTCATTATCGTCATCATCATCATCATCATCATCATCATCATCATCATCATCATCATCATCATCATCATCATCATCATCATCATCATCATCATCATCATCATCATCATCATCATCATCATCATCATCATCATCATCATCATCATCATCATCATCATCATGTGGTTTTGATTTTTGTATCTTGCCTTGCGTGCTGATCAGCTACGTAAGCTGTCTTTCCCTGCCGACAGGCGAGAGTTGTTCTGACTCTTTTTCATCCAGACACATTCACTTCTTTTCCTCTCCTTCCCTTTCCTTTCTCCGCTGTGCAACGTCCCAGTTGTAAACCCGTGCGAATGCGACTTCGAGTGTCTATGGCCCTGTCAGTTTTACACCTCAGCCTACTGCATGGAGTATGCATACCGTAATCTGCTCGCGTAGGAAGTCCAAATCCTCTTCGCATGTACTCAAACTTTGTTTCGCGGTCGACAGCTTCGATTGCAGCAGTTCTTCGGCTTCGGGTATGGGGTATGCGAGCATAACATTGGCGCCGAGCCAGAGGTAGACTTCGTCGGTGGGAGGCACTTCAGCTTTGGCGTAGAGTGTATCGTTCAGTTCGAAGGTAGTTTCGAGGGGCTCCGCATCGTCTTTCCGTGACTTGAGGAACCGCACAGTCTCTAACGTCTTTTGAATATCGGGGATCTTGTCCTTGAGGCCTGCAGCTCGCCGTTGAGTGTTTTGCTGCATGAACTGGTACTTCCTAGGAAGGCACGTTAGGCGTTGCTGTTCTTATGGGTGTGACCAGTTGTGTGAGACATACGAGATCATCTCCTTGAAGTTGTTGATGGTCTTCTCGACATCTGCGCGGTCTGTGACATAGTCCTCAACCTGTCCATGTTAGACGCAATCCTCCAAGATGACCAATGGACTTCGCACCCGATCTATAAAGGGCGCAACGGGAATACCGCGAGGGTTCGCTGGAGGTATGTCAGAGAAATGTCTTGACTCTGGTGGTGTTGGGGGATGTACTCTCGGGACCGCTGTTGCAATGTCAGATCTATTCGCCAGGACTGACACATTACTCACCTCGCGCCTTTGGCTACATCAGCCATTGTATTTGGATTTGTATATTTCGACGTCGTTCGCGTTGTTCGCGTTCATTCAAGGTTTCGCGTCTCGGAGAAAATGCCCCGCAATGTCCGTTCTTGGCGGAAGAGCTCCATCCTCCCACGTCCTCCGCCTCTCGAGACTCCAAACCCTTTCCGCTCCACCCCGCCATTCACTGTCTTCCGCTGTACCGCCCGATCTAGCTAGCTAGCTTATGCACAGAGACCAACAGGAATGGCTGCCGTACCCGTCTTTGGCCGGGATACCAACCGATCTGGCTAAAAATATATGATCTCACCATCCAGCATCTTGCATGCCATGACCCTGCTGTATACCTGGTACACTACGAAAAGCTACGCGGGAAGTACCTTGGTAGCATGAGCATCAAGATTACATACAAAAAGATTCCGTCGTCCTGGGACTCGATGGGATAACACGGGCCCCCCGACCCGCTAGCTAACCGACAAGATGATGAGGTCGTTATCCATCCAACACGGCAGCTCGATCGCCTCCAGTACACTCAAGATCGAGGTAACTGCCACGTCTGTGGCTGGACGTATGCAGTACGTACTTCAAACACTGGAAAACCCTGCCTATATCGCATATGCGGACAGCAAAAAGTCTAGTGCAACGGGCGGCGGCCATGCTTTCCGCCCTATGGAGACGGCAATCTGCGGCCCTGGTCTCCCCATCGAGGAACTATTGAAAGCTACTGCAAGGCTAACATAAGGTAAGATGCAGGCGTCAATGCCTGTGAACTGCTCAGCCAGGTAAGAACCGAACCAATCGTTCCCCGGACCGCCAACTCCATGACGGACCATCAGCCTACTGTATCGATACAAGCCACAAACTTAATCATCGTAAAGAAAATATGAGCCGTATTACGCTCAAGGCTGCGATCAGCGGTTGCAGCCGCCACTGTTGAGTGCACTTCAGGCATAGCTGCTTGCGGCTTTGCAGGATGCACGTTCGGGCCTCCTCACTATTCTCCGAGCATATCATCTTTGAGAATCCTCGCCGACCAAGCTTCCCAGCCAGCGCATTGAACTTCGCACTCGTACTCGGAGGGTCCAAATCGTCTGTCTCCGAATGGTTCCATTCGTTCAACGAGGACCTGCAGATCCTTAATTGCTCACATTTCGACTTGAACACGAACGGAAGACATCGGATCATACGAGGATCGACCCCAAACGCGGTCCACAGCCTAGGAACCTTTAGGCTTCGCAACATCAGATCTAGCTCGTCTCGTTAAGACTGAGGATTGCACTTATGCTTCATGCATCAGGGTCACATCCCAGAAGTGAACATAGATCGACTTACATGTTTCGGTTGTCCGTTTCTGGACAGCTGCTCTGCATCAAAGAAGGAATTCGATACTGATCATCGTGGCGATCGTCATGCTTCAGCCCACGGCATATACGGCGACGTAGCTGTCAGACCGGTTCTTGGGACTCCTGCAGTCGGATTGGTGCTGATCGGCGCAACCCTTCTCTAGGCATTCCTTGACATGCAAGCTCTCATCACTGTCTTGGTACCGGTGGAAATAGCATATGCAGTGAGATGGCTGAGTAGCTAAAGGTGAGCAAGGCGCCCTGCACGTCGCAACGATGGCATGACGTGGCGGGCGCTCGCTTGCTAGCTGAGGAACGCGAGAGTGATGTGACAGCCACATTTTCACATGAAGTTTGACTCAGTGACAAGGCTCAGGCAGCCCCGTGTGGGTAGTGTGTAAGGCGACCCGTAGTTGAAATTTGCCCCGTCACGACAGCGACTTTGAGCCATGCCAGGGTCTTGGCTGGGCTTTCTTCGGATGTGTCAGTATTGCAGGCGCCCGGCAACTTCGCTCCAGATACCATGTTTCTGGAAATGCACTGTCGATGCCATCCGACGCCTGAGATCAGGAAGTATGACTGCATGCATTAACATTGCCAGGTACGATAAGGATGTCCCAGTCACGTGAACAGACACAGCTGAGTAAGTGCTTGGCCTTTTTTGGGACCCAGAAATCGGAAGGAGGGTCCAGTAGATCGAGAAGGACACATGAACATATCTTGGCTGCTGCCAGGCTGAAGGGTGTTGCAGATGCGTGAGGATGTTGCAAGAGCTGGAAGTCTTTCGCATGCCCGTCCGGGGCTGCGCGGTAGTCTCGGTAGTAGCAAAAATACTTTGGATGTTGCATTGGCTGGAATGCCAGGTATACCTCCGCAGCGAAACTTGGAGCGAGAGCGGGTGCACGTGCCATACCCATGGAGAGTGTTGCGTTGGCCACCTTCTGTGAAGCACGCATGTACCCGGGCATCCACATTGTACCGCGGAACTACACAGCAGTAAGAGTATTAGCTGGATCCTTGAGCCAAGACTTGCGATACTTGGATTCTAAAGTGCTTTCCAGAGTATAGAACGACGGTTTGCCAACGTCCAGACTTTCCCGTTTCGATGCAACACTGAACAACAACCACAGCACCATCAGGCTCAGTATTTTTTGCGAAGTCAAATTACATCGCAATTAAGGCAGGGCGCCGCGTACCAGACCTCCAATATACTGCCGTAGGCCATGAATGCCTACTGGCTAAGCAGGCTATCCGTACGTCGGTCCCAAATTTGTTCATATAGTAACCACCATGCGCAATGGCACTATAGCAACGCCAGATATACGACGGCTGAGCTTCCGAAGACGGAAGGACATGTTTGCGACCGTCCAACGACGTTCCCGTCGGACCGCAGCTGCATAGCGCATGAAAAGAAATCCTTCACCGCGGACCGGGACCATCTAGATCGTGCCAGACAAAGCTTAATCTAGCTTGCATGAACAGTTCCGTGGGCGACGGGATAACGGGTGTCGTATAGAGACGTGCAATATACAGGCATTTATCCGTGAGTTGAATGGTTCGTTGTACCTGCAGCTAGAGGGTCGGGATATGAGCGTCTGGGTAAATGGGCCACAGCGTTCCATTGCTAGTAGAGCGAGATGTCAAAGGCGTGGCAGAACATGGATCCTCGTTCCCGCTTCTACGGATATGCAATGGGTGCGAGAAGCTGTGAGGCCATGGTATTTGGTCCACGATCACGCACAGGGGATTTACGCCAGCGGCACGATCATGCAAGCAAGTGCTCTGGATCATGACATATTGAATACCTATAAGATGGCGTGGGGGTTGTCTTTAAAGTATCCCAACAAATCTAGATACCAATACTTATGGTTGTCGGACTGTGGAGCCGGGAACGAGTCAAAGTAACAGGTTGCGCTATTTTCAGTTTCGGTTGCTGGTAGTATGGATCTGGCACTGGAAAGACATGGGAAGAGACGGAAGCGGGATGGCGACCTCGGTCACTAGCTGGAACAGGACTGAGATGGTCGTAGTGCCAGTCAAGTGAGGTAGAACTGTAGGGTAGTGGAGTTAGACACATCAAGTCACAATGCAATGGGAACTAGTTGTTGTGAACAAACCCTTGCCATTTTGGGTAAACCAAGCATTAAGTACAGTATAAATCATAACGTGCGTGAACATGAGAAAAAGGTGCAACAAGTGCGTGAAAGACAAATGGAGCCACAAGAAGGTAGTATCCCAACGCCAATAAATCATGACACCTTCGCTAGCGCCAGAGTATATGTATGCTGAAGACCAATAAGCGAGAGCCCAACGCCAACATCTCGTTATTCAACACTTGAACAAAGGAGATGCATGCAGTTTGCAATGTGTGATAAGTCTATGAATGAAGAGGGATCGAAGCTTATAGCTTGAGACCTTGCTGAATGAGCTTGCCTAGTGTGGCACCCTGAGAGAATGTCAGTATCGTGAAATGATGGTAATGATCGTGGAGTGACTTACGTGCTCGCCCTTCATCATCGTGAAGTGGTTTCCGCCCATAACAGCGTACTGGAAGTTCTCCTTGGGAAGGAGCTGGGCCCAACCGTTGTCCGAGAAATCGGTACGGTTGTTGAGCAGCCACTTCATGGGAGCTGGGTCCTCTCCCTCACCTGGTGGGGGACGGGGGTCCTCAGGGTTGGGGCAGACACCGTCTGTGCACCAGATGGCAAGGACCGGGGGAGCGATCTTGGGGTCCATTGGCTTCGGGTCATAGTCCTTGAGGTTCTGGATTGCGGACGCGAAGTGAGGAAGGAGCCAGGACGGAGTGCCACCGGGCTTACCGGTACCGAGAAGACCTATCTGGTCGAAGAAGATGTGGAGACGGGCAGGTAGAGGGTCAAGAGCGACGGGGCAGGGAGCATCGATCAGGACGAGGTTCTCGACCTTCTCACCAGAGTTGACCAGTTGCTGGGCGACCTCATAAGCCATGACACCACCAGCAGACCATCCACCGACGAGGTAAGGGCCCTGGGGCTGGCGGCGCTTGATCTCTGAAAGGTAGAGGCGGGGAACACCCTCCACACCACAGCTCCACTTCTCAGGGCACTTCATGAACGGGCAGTTGAGTCCGTACACGGCCATGTCAGTGGAGATGTTGGGAATAGAGATGTAGCTGGTCGCACTGCCAGAACCATCAGGAACCAGGAAGAACTTCTTGGTGGCAATCTTGGGGTTACCCTGGAGGAGTACGGAAGTGGCGGGAGGGAGGTGAGAGACGTCGGGAAGGGATGCGAGCTTCTTGTTTACCTCAGAGAGTTGAGGCTGGGCCGAAACCTTAGCAACGGGCTTCGTGGCTTTCGCCTGCTGCTGCGGCTTGGGGCGCATATCAAGAGCAGTCTCGATGTCCTTGATGGTGACATTGACGGTGAGAAAATCAGCAGGCAGATCGCGACCAGTAGCCTCACGCATGGAACCAAGGATGGTAAGACTCATCAAGGAGTCCATGCCGATGTCAGTAAGGTCGAGGTCGTCGGTGATCTCGGAGACATCAACACCCATCTCTTCGGCGACAAGCTTGCGTGCGAGACTGGCACCACCCTCAGTGGGAGCAACGGAGGGCTTGACCTCTTCGTCCTCATCATCGCTGCCAGTGGAGCTGGCAGGGGTATCGTCGTTCTCATCAGCGACCTCTTCGAAGGGAGAAGAATCGTCGGAAGATTCTGAAGAGTCATCCTCAACGACCACGGCCCCATCGAACTGCGAGAAGTGCTTCTTCAACTCTCCTACAGTAGTGCAATCGGTAAAGAGGGTGGAAGGAATATCCATGTCGAGGTCCTCACGGAACCTGGCCGAGATGGTGAGAGACAAGAGTGAGTCGACACCAAGGTTCTCGAAAGCGGCCTCATCGACAAGCTCAGACATGTCAACGTCAATCTCCTCAGCAACGATCTTCATGACCTTGGAGGTGACGCCAGCAGGAGCAGCTGCCTTGACAGGCTTCGCGACCTTAGCAGGCTTCGCGACTGGCTTGGCTGCCTTGGTGGCCGCGGCCTTGGTCTTGACAGGTGCAGCCGACGGCAGCGCCTTGGGGGCAGCCTTAGCAGGAGCCTTCCCAGCGGGGGCGGCAACAGCCTTACCAGAAGGAGGCATCATGATGTTGAGAGCGCGGCGAGGGATGTTCTGAAATTTGAGGCCCATGACCATACCGATGATCTCAGCACCGTCCATGATGTAAACATCACCAACGGAGATGTTGCCGGGAGCGGGCTGCATGCGAACGTAGGAGCGGTACTTCTTCTCGGGCGAAAGCTTTCCAGCAATCTTGATCGATCCCCATCCGTGAGAAATGTAGACCGAGTTCTCGGAGTCGAGGTGATCAGAAGCGTTGACGATGAAACCGGAGAGATGGGCAAGAGAGTC